GAGCAGTTTGCAGCCTCCATCCAGTATTTCCCTGGGGGGACTCAGAAAATGGGGAGCTCCTTGGGTGGGGAATTGGTGGAGCCTCTTTGTGTGCCGCAGGGAGGGATTCAGGATCCAGACTCTTTCCCGCCAGCGGGATGCGGCGGAGGTTTCTGTTAGATTTGGCCGATCAGACTGTGTGCTATTATCTGCCCTCGGAAATGGCTAACGTGGAGACTATTGGAAACATACCGTCAAAGTTATTTTTGTGCTTGGGCTTTCAGAAGCACTGTCTGCAAATCTCCGTAAAGGAAATTCCTGGCATTGTATGGGGCTAATCAGAAATACTGCTTCACCACCAGGTTACGCTGCTCATGGGGTGGCTTTCAGTCGCCCTTCCAGCCCACCCTTACCCTGTTTGCCTGCGCAAAGAAATCTTGCTCAGAGCAGCAGGTGACTTATTTGGTGTACTGGACATGGAGCACTGAAAGACTGCAGGACGGGGTTTGTATTTAAAATTCCAGCATTTAAAATTCAAAGCAGCTAGGTCCATTTTATGCAAAGTGTAATAAAAAGTACCCTATTGGAAGAAGTCAGTTTTTATTCCCCGTGTAGGTAGGGATCAGAAAGCTCTGTGCTCCCTAGAGAACTTTTTGCTCAGCAGATTTTGGAAGAGCCCCCCAGTTTCCTTGAGGTTCAGGGTGTCCAAAGTGTCGTTGTTTGGACCTCGAAGTCCCAGGTGTTCTTGTCCCTTGTTGGGTGAGTGTAGAGCGAGACGTTGGCTAAGTGCCGGGGGCCTGTGCTCAGCTGTTAGGTGACTACGACAAGGTGAAGGCTGTGTCCGAAGGCTCCGACTGTCGCTGCAAATGCCTGGTCAGACCCCTGGGCCGCGGTGCCTGCCAGAGGATTAACGAAGGCGCTTTCAGAGCAGAGGACTTTTACACGGTGGAAACCATCACGTCAGGACCCAGCTGCAAGTGTGCGTGCGTGGCCCCCCCCTCAGCGCTCAATCCCTGCGAGGGGGACTTCAGGCTGAAGAAGCTGCGGGAGGCGGAGAGCAGCGACCTGAAGGTAGGAGAGCAGCTTGAATTCGGGGCTCTTTTGGGAGAAGATCTTCTGAAGCCTTTTCTTTCTGGGCTTTTTCTATTAAACTTTTTCCTAAGCTTTTTTCTAAAAGAATTCTGTAGTTGCTTTTATATCTGCACATTTTATACAAAAACCAAGCTCAGCTTAAGGGATTGCTTTGAGCAGCTGCAGTGGATGATTCACCCGGTTCATCCCGCGCTGCCTGGCGTCTGCCACGGCTGCCTGCGCTGGAAGTCCAGAGGGACGGGGATGCTCTCTGCCCTTTGTCCAGTGCTAAGTGTCCCTGGGGGGGACAGCTCAGCAGCTGCCAGCTCTTGTTCCTGTTGCAGAGAGGGGCTTCCTCTCTAAACACACTAAAAGCTGTTTTGGCTTCCATGGGCCAAAAGCCGCGGATACGTCAGTGTGAGGGCGTGTTACGCAGCTGGCTGATGGCAGGAGGGCTTTTGTTGTTTTAAACGTTGACACTTCTATACTGTTTAGTATTTTTATCTCTTTAGTAATACGTACCTCTTTTCCAAATGTGACTGTTCTAAGTACTCATGGCTTTTACTGGATGCCTACTTCTGCTGGTCTAGCAGCTGGCAGCAGACCCCGCTAGGGTTTCCAGTTTGTTACTGGAAAACCCTGGGTAGCGTAGCAGAAATCCTCCCCAGAGGGCCGCTGGCTTTGGTCCAGCCCTGGGGAGTCCCCAGAGCAGAGGGCTGAGTGTTGGTGGCACTGGTGTGGGTGGTGATGGGATGCGCCCCAGGGCAGTGCTGCCAGTCCCTCAGGTGGAAGGTGGGTGGTGCGGAGGGTGCTGCAGGGCAGCCTGCCGCTGGGGCCACCACGGGTGGGTTTGTTCTAATTAATTTGGAGCTGGAGGATGTGTTTCATCTTGTCTGACTGCAGACAGTTAGCAGCTTCTTGTCCAAGCTCCCCTGCAGCTAGGGAAGATAAACAGGCACAGGCAGATAATCCATCATTTCGGGGAAGGAGGAGTCCCAGTCTGGAGCTGTTTGGTGGTCCCTCGCCCGCAGGAGAAGCTAGGATGTCCCACTTGGCCTTAGCTGAGGAACCGTGAGCTCTCTGCGGTTAGAGGAGGGGACACTCTCTGGGATGACAGAGCCACCCCTGAAGTCCCTCACCCCGAGGCAGGCAGAGCTGGCTCCTCTGTCCCCTTGGAGCCGGTCAGGCTCCGGGAGGAGCAGAGCGGCGTGGCTGGCTGCGCCCTTGGCTCCTGCTGCCTCTTCCCACCGGGGAGCTGCTCCCAGCCAGCTGTGGTGTGAAAGCCTGTCCTCTAGGAACTGGCCCAGGCTCCCCCACTCCTTTCCAAGGATCCGCAGCCAAACGATTTCACAAGATTTATCCAAATATACACACGCGGGGTTTTTCTTTGCTGCAAAAGTCAAACCCTAGGAGTTGTGAAAACAAGCTTACTTTTTCACTAAGCCACGACCCTCCTGGGATCGGGCTTGCTGGGAACAGCCACCGCTAGGAGAAGCCAGGAGGCAGGAGAGGACACAGCTCGGGTTCCGATGTGACTCATGGAGGAGCAGCTCCCACGCTCTCAGCAGGGGACCGGGAGGGACGGGTCAGGCCCCCTCGCTGCTCCTAACACCCTGTTGTGGTTTAACCCTGCCCAGCAATGAGCCCCACACAGCCGCTCGCTCACTGTCCTCCGTTGGGATGGGGGGAGAGAATCAGAAGAGTAAAAGGAAGAAAACTCATGGGTTGAGATCAAAACAGTTTAACAGGTAAAACAAAAGCCGCACAAGCAAAGCAAAACAAGGAGTCCGTTCACCACTTCCTATGGGCAGGCAGCTGTTCAGCCATCTCTAGAACAGCAGGGCTCCGTCACATGTAACGGTTACTTGGGAAGACAGACACCATCACCCCAAATGTCTACCCCCTTCCTTTTACTTCGCCCAGATTCATATGCTGAGCATGATGCCATATGGTGTGGGATATCCCTTTGGTCAGCGGGGGTCAGCTGTCCCAGATGTGTCCCTCCCAGCTTCTTGTGCACCCCCAGCTACTTGCTGATGGGGTGGGGTGAGGAGCAGAAAAGGCCTGACATCTCTGCGTTATCAACACTGTTTCCAGCACAAATCCCAAACACAGCCCCATACCAGCTGCTATGAAGGAAATTATCCCAGCCCAAACCAGTACACAGCCCCCGGGGTTTTACTCTCCTTACAGGGCTGATGAGCATCGTTCTTGGCCAGTCCAGCAGTGAGAAGCACATAGACACAGTTGTGCTCTGTGTCTGTTGTGCTTTACCTGGCTTTTTTATGCTCTGACTCCAAGGCCCTGGATATTCCACGGGTGGGAGGGCTGTGGGCAGGTCCCCGAAATGAGAGCCCTCCATGAGGACGGGCAGGCTGGAGGATGTGTCCCTGAGGGACCAGCGGGGAAGGCAGCAAGCAGATGAGCTCAGGCAGCAGGAGCATAGCGCTGGGGGTTTCGGTCCTGTTTCTGCCTTTAATAAGGTCCCGTGGGAGTGCATGGACCCCCCGACAGTGAGAGCCAAAACTTGCAGTAGGTGAAGGGAAGGAGACAGAGCGAGTTGGTGCGTGCATCAGCGTGGTCTATTGGGGAGCATCAGCTTGGGGAGCATCAGCTTGGGATTGGGAGGGCTAGCTGGCTCTAAGAAGATCTATTTCTGTGACATCGCAGCTTGCTACTCCTCTGCTTGTGGGCGTGGGGTGTGTTTTGGGGGTCTCGGGTGCAGAGTCTGTGCAAGGAGGCTGTGCTGGGGAAGATTTGGAAGGTGGTTCTTCAGTCTGCAGCCTTTGTGCGTTGATGGAAATTGTCCAGCCTGGAAGGAAGGCGCAGGTCTCCAGTGGCTGTCTGGCAGGTTGTGAGCATTGTATTGGTTGTCTCCGGCCAGTTCTCGGTGGAAAATGGATGCACAGCCATAAAACAGCCCTTGTCTCTTAATGCTGCCATTTTATCTGGCCCCAGAATCTTTCCTTTGCTGTCAGCCCCGTAGGGAGGCTGCAGAGGCTGGGGTGGAAACTGCGAGTGCTGCCAGCAGCCTTGCCTGCGCTGCTCCCATGTTTATGGAGCTCTGTCGACCAGTTTGTAGCTGCTGGGTGAGTGTGTCACTGCCTTGTAGTAATTCCCATGCACTAAAAATACTTCTCAGCCGTCCAGGCTATAAGGTCTGCGGTGCCACACTGTCCCTGTGGGGACACACGGGACTGGAGGGAGCAGGCAGGTGTGGGAGCGGAGGCAGGGAACAGCCGGGATCCCTCCCCTCCAGCCTGTGCTGGCACCAGGGCATGGCTCGGCATTTGCCCAGCTGCATGGAGGTGCCACTGACTCGCTCCTCCAGCGTGCCCAGGAGCAGGCTGGGTCCATGCAACGCTGGCGCTTGCTCAGCCCTGTCCTCTGCAGAGAAGCACCAGGGACCACAGGAAATACAGAGCAAGGCTGTTGCCCGTGCCCATGATGCCCATGGCTTGTCCAGGGTCTGCTCCCCAGGACTGGTAAGCAGGGGCTGGTGTTGGGCAGGACGTGGGGACGCAGCCCTTCCTGCTGTGGGAATGGGGAGTCGCGTCTGTCATGTCCCTGAGATGGGGGCTGGAGGAGATGGCAGCATCCCTCTGATAAAGGTATTCTCCAGGGAAGCAAACTGTTTCCAGGCTGGAAATGAATTTCGGCTGCTTTGCTCTTGCATTTGTGGACGTTTTAAAACTTTTTAAACAAGTTTCTTCTTGTTCCAGGAAAAAAACCCATGGGATGGCACAAACTCAGAGTCTCATCCCAAACTCACTTTTATTTGAGCTGCCATTTGCTTGTTGCCTCTTTTGTCACCAGTCACATCACTGGAGGGGTAGTTATGCCTCTGGGCTTGTGAGAGAGCTTGCCCAGAGCTGGCAAGGAGGGCAGTGCTTCTCCTCACCCTGCTTATGGACCCCCAGCGCCAAGCACATGCTCCCGAAGCTCTGCAGAGGTGGCGGGCATTGCTCTGCACTGTGCTCTGACCGGGCAGCAATGCAGCAGGGCTGGCAAAGGAAAAACTTGTGTTTGAATAAACTTCTTGCATTCAGTTGTGTGCATTGCCCTTGACTTTTTGGCTGTAGAAAGCATGTGGGGTACTTTACAGCACATGCCTCTGACTGACGGTGCGCTCCCCTTGCCTTGCAGCTGTCCTCCATCGTTGAGATGCTGGAAAGTGCCTTCTACGGCTTGGACCTTCTGAAGCTGCACTCGGTCACAACCAAGCTGGTGGGTCGGGTGGAAAAGCTCGAGGAGGTAAGATGAGTCCTGCTCTGAGATGAGTCCTGCTCTCCTTCGAGGCTGCTGCCTTCGGTGGGACTTGCCTGAGATCAGGTTCTTGGTACCCGGGGTTCATCCAGAGCCTCGCTCTTTCGGGAAGACACGTTAATGATCTCTGGTGAAACTGAACTAGACCAGACAGGACTCTCCAAACGAGACCAGACCAGAGTCTCCAGGGCTCCTTGCAGGCAGTGCCCAGGGCATTGCCACCCCCTCAGCCCCCCTGACCCTCTCCAGTTTCTCCCATCCCTCATCTGCCCCGTCACCAGACTGGGTGCGGGATCCCAGCCGTGGCCTTGCCAGGACCAGCCTCTCCTCAGGGTCGGAAGTGCCTGCTGTCAGGTTTTGACTCTTCTCGATTCTGTGTCTGTGCTGACGCGATAGATGCTCTCAACCGGGTGCTTTTGTGGTGTTTGATGTGAGGGTGCGGGGCTCAGGGCCAGTGTGGGACACACTCAGCGGGACAGCTGGTAGCCAAGGAGCTCAGATTCCTTAAGGACCAACTTATATCTTGGCCTGTGTTTAAAAAGAGCTGAACCCTCCGCACTGCTAAAAAGGTACTTAAAGTACCTTCCATTTTTTTTTAAAGCAGACTTCCAGTGAAATCATTTTCCCTCCCATGCAGTTCAATATTTTTTTGGCTAGCACACCACAGGGTTTGCAGTTTGTTAGGCTGCGCTCAGCTATGCAGGAACAGGTTGCCAGATTAAATACTGGAGTTTTCTCCCTTGGTCCGTATCTGGGACAGTAATTCCACATTCTTGTCAGAGCAAAGCAGTCCCACTCCTCTGCAGCCAGGAGCCGAGAGGTGATGATTTATAAAGCCAAAATTCCACTTGCAAAGTGTTTCGGGAAGGCACGGCGTGCTCCGTCCCAGGGTCAGGAAGGAGACAGCCGAGAGGAGTGCGCTTGCTCGGGGGGGGTCCGGGCTTCCAAGCACAATTGACCCAAAAAGGGGGAGAAGGGGTTTTGAGGTCTAAAAATAACAAAGCACCAATGTTTTTGTTTGCCATCCCACCCTCTTCCTGTGGTTTAGCTCATTCTCCACTCGTTCCTTGGGTTTGTCGTCGAGCCTTTGCTAATTAAGGCAGAGGAGCGAGGGCAGTGGGAGCTGTGGTGCTGCGTGGGTGCTGTTGGGGACTGTCACCATGGTGGCACTGGTGACTACAGGTCTGGCGGAGGGGTGAGCCCTGCCCCACGGCATGGCGAGCGTTGCCTGGACCAGGGGATGCTGCGTTGAGCACAAGGGGCACCATCGGGACTGACCGAGGGTCTGCTGCTATGGATCATCCACAGCTGCTGGATTGGGGATGGCAGAGAGGACAGCCCATCACTGGTGTCACTTATGGATCTGTGGTTCGGGAATTTGTCTCACCCTGAAGCTAGTTGGCTAAAAATGGTGCCGTTGGACATTGTCACCTGGGTTGATGGAGATTCCCCAGTGCTGCTGGGGCAGGGCAGAGCTGGTGCAGGCAGCAGGTGTGAAATGCTTCCTGCCGCTGGCTTAGCACACAAA